TTTTTTCAAATATAAATTCTTTTATAAAAAGATTAGAAAAAAATAATAATAATAAATTAACTAAAGATGATATAGATGAAAATTTAGAACCAGAATTAAATAATAATTATAATAATGATAATAATAATGATGATGATAATGATAATAGTAGTGATAAAAATAAAAATAATAATATTACTATAGATAAAGATTTATAAGAAACAATAGAATTTATTGAATAATTATAAAATCTAAATTATTTTTTATTTTTAAATATAAATAAATATATTTTTTATATTATTAAATATTTATTGTATTACAATTACAATTTTATTATTATTTTTCTTTAATATTTTTTACTTAAATATATAATAAACTATATATCATACTACTAATAGTAACTAAAATAACCTAAAATTGTTTATGCTTTTTCATATCATAACAGAATACAATAATATTAAATATTTTACAAAGTATTTTAATTATAATTTTTTGTATACTACTAAACCAAATTACTAAATATAAAAACAATTTTTTCTTTACTAATTTTTTTAACATTAGATAATTATTTAATAAAATCTATTTAATTATCTTTTTAATATTAGTTCATTTAATTTAGTTGCTATTGTTTTCAGAATTCAAAGTAAAATAAAAAAAACTTTAAAATATTTAACTTTTAATTATTTTTAATAATCAACTATTGTTAAACTAATACACAAAGATCTTTAAAGACAGTATTGTCACAGGACAGTTGTAGATATAGTTTGAATATTTGTGAACATTTTTTAGCAAATAAATAAATTAAAATTATTCAAAATTTTATTAAATTAATTTATTGTAACTTTTAAATAAAAATATTCAATATTATAAAAAATATATAATTATATATTTTTTAAATTAATACATTTATATATAGAAAAAAGAAAATTAAAGTTTCTTTTTTTAAGATTATTTATGTATTAATAATACAGAAATTGTTATATTAATCATTGAAACTTCATATGTAACTGTTCTTGGTAGTTATGCTAGATTTGTGATTTAACTAATTTGTTCATAATGAAAAAGATAGAAATCAGTAAATAAAATAAACTAAGACAGAGAAAAAAAAGAGTGAAAACAAATACTTACCAAACCTGCTCAAGAACTTTGCTAACATAAATTCTATTCATTATCAGCAACTTCAAAACAAAGACAAAGAAGCAAAAGTGGAGAAAACAGAGAGGAAAAATAGATTTAGCCTGGACCAAAGCTCTAACTTAAAAACAACTGATGACATCTTCATATATAAGTGCTACAAATGAAAACTTGGAAGTGAATCTTTATTATGGATGTTATACCTTTAAGTGATTACTTTATCATCACACTACAACTTAATATGCATTTTTCACATTCTTTTGAAGCTATTAAAATAAGCATTTATTAAAAAACTAAATACAAAAATAAAAATAAAAGTTCTATACAGTTAGCACCAAACTAAACCTTGTTTAGCTAATAGGCCACTATCCAACCAACCCAGTCGAATGGCCCGTCTAAACAAAGTTTCCAGCCTAATTTAGTTATCAAAAACCAAACCCCCGGCAGTATAGCTAACGTTTTTTTTTTAAAAAAAAATACCACAACAATTTGATTCGAAATGCATCCCTAACGGCTACATATTTCATAAAACTCTAATAGATATCTTTACAGTAGTAAAACATGCAGTTCTTGTATTTTGGATTGGTGGTTATATAGAAATTAGCCTGAGCAGTAAGAATACCATAAAATAAATTTAGTGATAAGAAATTTGAATCTAAGAAGCACTAAAAATTCGAATTCTCTTACTTGAAGCAGTGAAATAACAAAGCAATCAAATATTCACCAAATAAATTCATATAATAGTTCAGATCTCTTATCAGTTTCTCTCACCATCACAAGACAATAACGCTTAATGAAGCTTGTGTATCCACATTTTTTATGTCATGAATAATTTGATTTATTATAGGCAGCACTTGAATTAAGCGAGAAGGTATGTTAACATTAGATTTCTAAAAATAAATCTTATTACTGTATTATCAGTATTTGTTTGATATGTTTAGTAAATATTTATTTCTTTATTTATTAAAAAAAAAACCTGAATCTCAATAATACAATTTTGATATAATTTAAATAACGATTGCATACTTGGTTGCCCGTTCTTGTCGTGATCAAACACCAAATTGCTTCGGAAAAATATGTTGAATTAAAATATCTGTAAACCATTAATATACATATATAATCAATAAAATACTAGGTAATTATTCCTGCTTGTTAATTACTTACGATGTTTAGGCAGTCCGAACCTGACAGAACCACTAGCATTGTGAGTTGCAGAATGGAAGGGGACTCACTGCCTTTAGCATTCTATTTGTACATTTAAAAAAATATTTAATAGAGACAAACCAAAATAAACCAAGATAAAAACCTTATGCTCATCAAAAAACATAACAGTAAGTCAAAAAAAAAACAACCAAATACCGGTGGAGGTAACACGATTGATAACTTAGCAGTTAGAGTGTTCTCAAGTACGTCCCAAAATCAATAGCCTGATAGCTAAATCGGAGGTGTTTGAGAACACCCTTAGCCAATCACTGCAAGCCTCTGAAAGTACCCGTGAAATACAGTTGATATAATTTCTACTAAATCTCCGTCACCATGTAGTTTATCATTTTGAACACCTGACCTCATTAGCCCGTAACTTTCCGTAAAAATACGAGTTTCTTCTATGCTAATTTTCTTTAACTGTCAAGTCAAAAATTCATATCCTTTTATTTTATTAAAATGCCGTCTAGACAGCGTCGTGCAAGTATTTCAAAGAGACAAAAAGAAATTAAAGCTTATAATGAAAACAAAAAAAAAACAACTTAGTGATGCATATAAAGAATATAGAAAATGACTCAATACACATACAGAAGAGAAACCTGAATTAAAAAAAGACCAGAGCGATCGAGATCAAACACCTGAATTGGGATAATTAGTCTTTGTAATTTTGAATTGGTAAAAAAAATTTTTTTTTATTAAATTATGATATTAAATATTTAGGATTTCGATTAGTGTCGCTTGCTCGATAATTCTGAAATGAAAAAATTATTGATTCGATCTCTTTTTGTAATCATTATAATATATTTATTATAAAGCGCATCTATAGTGACTTTGCATCAGGTTCGGGAAGGGTTTTTAGGACAGACATTTTTACTTAAACGATTAATTTCCCAGTTTCGAAATATTGAATAAAATAGGTATAAAAGCCATGGGTGTGTTTTGTAAAAATAATAAATTTTACTTCGAGCCCAATTTGGATAAGCATCGAAACGACTAGAATATTGATTTTATGCATGATGAATTACGTAATGACGCAATTCATCAGGGGGCCTTAAAAATCGGTTTCCAGGTTTTCACTCATATATTATCAGATGGTAAATATATCCTATTGGTCATTGTACACCTATTTTATATTTTTTGAATTTTACTTGGACATGTGATCGTGCTGGTCCTGCGCGGCATCGCGTGTTGCGCAGCTATCTTATAAAATAAATATCGACATAGTTATTATTTAATAACTATTTTGTTTTGGACATCTAATACTTAATAATAAGTATACTTAGAAATATATATTTTAAACAAGATTCTTATAATTTTTAAAAATTTTCGTTATTATTACAATTAAAGTGATTAAAACAAATTCTTCGATAATAACAATTTATATTGCGATGTTGCTAAATATTTTTTCCTTAGTTAGTCTATCGGTCCGATTTAAGATTAGACTGATCCTGATCTCTACCATTTATTTGTGATTTTTAAATTGTGTTACATTACAATATTGATGTACATAGTACGTACTATATATTTCATTAATTTCAAAGATTTTTAGAAAATAATCATGAATTCGCCTGACGACTTAATTCAAAAATGCCTTAATGAAGGGCATATTAAATTTTTCGATTATACTCACTTCAATAATATTGAGTTGATTGGGGAAGGTGGACATGGAAAAGTGTATCGTGCTACTCTCAAGGATAAAGACATTACCGTCGCATTAAAATCATTTAAAAGTAATAATGTTACCATTAAAGAAATCGTAAATGAGGTAATTGGTCTATTCGTTGTCAATTTTATAGTTATATAACTATATTATAATTATATATTATATATTAGCTTAAATTACATTGTCAAGTGGACATGCATTCTAATATTATACGCCTATATGGTGCTACTAAAAGTAAAGGTAATGCAACTAATTTTGGTTTATAAAGTAAATCCTATTTTTCGAACATAGATAATGTTCACCTATTTGAAATTATGATAGATCAACCGAATTTAAGTTCTTCGAATTACAAGTTTGTTCTTGAATATGCTGATAGTGGTACTTTAAGGTCGTATTTACAAAATAACTTTAAATATCTTTCTTGGAATGATAAGATAAGTCTTGCTCTACAGATTGCTAGTGCTATTAAGTCATTGCATGCTGAAGATATAATACATCGTGATCTGGTAAAATTTCAATTATAAAGCTTATAATTTTTCATTATTTTTATTAATCCTAAATATTTATAATTTTTAATAGCATTCAAACAATATACTTATTCATCAAAGGAATATTAAAATTACAGATTTTGGACTTTCAAAAAGATTGGATGAAGTGACAAATTCAAGTCAACAACTTGCTGGTATTATTGCATATATAGATCCTCAGAGTTTTGAAGGATCAAGAAACAAAAGTAGAAAATTTAAATTTAATAAAAAATCTGACGTATATAGTGTTGGCGTTCTTTTGTGGGAATTAACTAGTGGATATCCACCTTTTAAGGATGATAAACTTGCACCATTAATTATAGCTATTAAAAATGGTGATCGAGAAAATCATATTGAAGGAACACCATCTGCATATATCAAAATCTATTCAGGTATATTTTATCTGTTATATTTTTATCTTTAACAAAATTTGCTAACAATTTTAATAAATAGATTGCTGGCAGCATGATCCTAATAGTAGGCCAGATATACAGCAAGTCTTTTTGGATCTAAAAAATTTAATTACCAATGTAAAGCAAGCTATAAATCCAATTGTACAAGATTCAAGTACATTAGAAGCTCATGGATCAACTCAATTATTTGATCAAAGTAATCTGAATATGTTTATTTCTGATTCAACTCAGAGAGTTTTATTGCAAAATACTTTATCATTAAATAATGATGGAATGTGCGATGATGAGAAATCACTTTCCGAACTAAATAATTTATTAGAAATTAATCCAAATAATACAGAAGCTTTAATAAGCCGTGGTCTAATCTATTGTATGATGAGCAGATATGAATATTCACTGGCTGATTTTAATAAATCATTAAAAGTCGAACCAAATAATCTATTCGCATTAAAAAAGCGTGGTGTAATATACTATCATTTGGAAAAATATAAAGAATCACTTGAAGATTTAAATAAATCATTAGAAATCGAACCAAATGATGCATTTGCGTTAAAAAATCGTGGAAATACTTATCGCATGATGGATAAACTTAATGAATCTTTTGGGGATTTAAATAAATCATTAGAAATTGAACCAAATGATGCGTTTGCATTAAGTCGTCGTGGTGCGACTTGTTGTATGATGGGCAGATATGAAGAAGCACTTGCTGATTTAAATAAATCATTGGAACTTGAACCAAATGATGCGTTTGCATTAAGTCGTCGTGGTGCGACTTGTTGTATGATGAGCAGATATGAAGAAGCGCTTGCTGATTTAAATAAATCATTGGAGCTTGAACCAGATAATGCATGGGCATTAGGTGAACGTAGTGAAACATATCGTCTGATAAATAGATATGAAGAAGCGCTTGCTGATTTAAATAAATCATTGGAACTTGAACCAGGTAATTCAATTGTATTAGGTGAACGTAATGTAATATATCGTTTGATAAATAAATATGAAGAAGCACTAACTGATTTAAATAAATCATTGGAACTCGACCCAGATAATACATTTGCATTACGTAAACGTGGATTAACTTATCACATGATGGATAGATATGAAGAAGCACTAACTGATTTAAATAAATCATTGGAACTCGACCCAGATAATGCATGGGCATTACGTTACCGTGTTGAAACATATCTTCTGATGAGCAGATATGAAGAAGCACTTGCAGATTTAAATAAATCGTTGGCAATTAATCCAAACGATGCATGGGCATTACTTAGTCGTGGTGCAACCTATAGACTGATATATCGTAGTCGTGGTGCAACCTATAGACTGATATATAAAAATGAAGAATCACTTGCAGATTTAAATAAATCATTGGAACTTGAACCAGATAATTCAATTGCATTAGGTAAACGTAGTGTAATATATCGTCGGATAAATAAATATGAAGAAGCACTAGCTGATTTAAATAAATTATTAGAACTCGACCCAGATAATGCATGGGCATTAGGTGAACGTAGTGTAATATATCGTCTGATAAACAAATATGAAGAAGCACTTACTGATTTAAATAAATCATTTGAACTTGAACCAAATAATGCATTTGCATTACGTAACCGTAGTGTAACATATTTTCTGATGAGCAGATATGAAGAATCACTTATTGATTTAAATAAATCATTGGAACTTGAACCAGATAATTCAATTGCATTAGGTGACCGTAGTGTAATATATCGTCTGATAAATAGATATGAAGAAGCACTTGCTGATTTAAATAAATCATTGGAACTTGAACCAAATAATGCATGGGCATTATGTAACCGTGGATCAACTTATCGTATTATGAGCAGATATGAAGAAGCACTTGCTGATTTAAATAGATCGTTGGAACTTGAACCAGATAATGCATGGGCATTACGTGACCGTGGTGAAACATATCGCATGTTGTGCAGATATGAAGAAGCACTAGCTGATTTAAATAGATCGTTGGAACTTGAACCAACTGATGCAAGTGCATTAGGTGAACGTAGTGTAATATATCATCTGATAAATAGATATGAAGAATCACTTGCTGATTTAAATAAATCATTGGAACTCGACCCAGACAATACATTTGCATTACGTAGTCGTGGATTAACTTATCGTATAATGAGCAGATATGAAGAAGCACTTGCAGATTTAAATAAATCATTGGAACTTGAACCAGATAATGTATTTGCATTAAGTAACCGTGGAGTAACTTATCGAATGATAGATAAATATGAAGAATCGCTTATAGATTTAAACAAATCGTTGGAAATTGAACCGAATGATGCATTTGCATTACGTGAACGTGATATAACTTATAATTTGATAATGATAAACAAATACAAAAAATTTAATAGTTTTAAATTATCAAAATAAATAAAGTTAACAATAAATATGTATTAAGAAAAAATTGGGTTTAAATTAAAAAAATTCTTATTTTGTCACAGGTTAAAATTGTTACCGCTGGGCTGGTATTCGTATTGAAAGGGTTTGGTATGGATCGGGCTCATGTGACCAAGTTGCATGAATAGAGTGCACGAAAAGTTAATCTGTATCTTGCATAGTGAAATAATGATACATATATCCGGTAATATAAATAGAATATAGATCTAATAAGGTAAGTTTGGATTTCGAAGAAATGTCTTATTGATACACTAAATGGTCGTTACTGCAGTAATCTTGAAGCCAATGAGTTGCTGGAGCACCTGAATGATGCTCCAGTTCGGTTGTATAGCCAAATCGAGTCAATTCTAAGTGGGAAAGTCGACAAAGATCCTATATACTATAATATACTATATATCCCACGGCAGTGTTAAATTCAAACTAGTTTTATCAAAACAAATTAAATGATTTATATATTTAAATAATTTATATACAATTGAAGAGGAAATTTGTTTCATATTCTATCTAGTGGCGGCTTAGTTTGCAGTCATTGAAATTATTATTCAGTGTGTGCGTTATTCTGTAAAGTATTCACAATTTCTATCACAACAAATTTTTTAAATCCATATAATTAATGCATTAATGATGACAAACAATAATTAAAATACAAATATAATACACCAATAAACTTTGTATTTGTTGAAAATTATTCAAAATACCGTAAAAATGTTAAATAATTGCCAAGATTAAGTTTAACTCTGTGACCGTAACTCCCATCCCTGTTATTTCACGGTTTTACGGTAAAAATTTAGCAATCAGATTGTAAATCTAGATGCTGTATATTTACTATGCGTTTAAGTATCTGAAGTATCTGGATACAATTATCTGTTTTACTAATATTTCCCATCGCAACGGATTTTTGATAATAAATAAATGCTTTATGTTTATCTTTTCGGACTCCAATTCCATGAAGATAACAACTTCCAACATTATATGTTCCACTAATGTCACCCATATCGGCGGACTTTTGATAATGAATGAATGCCATATGTTCATCTTTTTCAATTCCAATTCCATCTCGATAACAGTTTCCAAGTGCAAATATCCCATCAGTACTACCCATCTCTGCAGATTTTTGGTAACAAATAAACGCTTTATGTTCATCTTTTTCAACACCAATTCCATCATGATAACAATATCCAACGTTATTCATCCCATTAGCATTACCCATCTTAGCAGATTCCAAATAATGAATGAATGCTTTATATTCATCTTTTTCAACACCAATTCCATGTAGATAGCAGTATCCAACATTATACATTCCACTAACATCCCCGATATCGGAGGATTTTTTATAATTAATAAACGCTTTATGCTCATCCTTTTCAACTCCAATTCCATTTTGATAACAATATCCAACACTAAATATTGCTTTAGCATTCCCCATCTCGGCTGATTTATTAAAATGAATAAATGCCATGTGATCATCTTTTTCAACCCCAATTCCGTATCGATAACAATATCCAGCATTATATACACCGTTAGTGTTTCCCATCTCGGAAGATTTTTGATAATGAACGAATGCCTGATGCTCGTCTTTTTCAATTCCAATTCCCTTAAGATAACAATTGCCAAGCGCAAAAATTCCATTAATATTACCCATTTCAGCAGATTTTTGATAATAGGTAAACGCCTTATATTCGTCCTTTTCAACACCAATTCCATTTTGATAACAATATCCAACATTATACATCCCACTAGCATTCCCCATCTCAGCAGTCTTTTGATAATAAACGAATGCCTTATGTTTATCCTTTTCAACCCCGATTCCATAAAAATAACAATGTCCAATATGATACGATCCATTAGTATTCCCCATTTCGTCAGATTCTTGATAATAAATAAATGCCTTACGTTCATCTTTTTCTACACCAATTCCATTTTGGTAACAATATCCAACATTATACATTCCATTAATGTTTCCCATTTCAGCAGACTTCAGATAATAAATGAATGCTTTACGTTCATCCTTTTCGACTCCAAATCCATAAAGATAACAACGTCCAACATTATACATTCCATCGGCGTGCCTCATCTCAGCAGATTTATAATAATGAATGAACGCCTTATATTCGTCCTTCTCAACACCAATTCCATTTCGATAACAATACCCAACACAAAATATAGCCTTGATATTTCCCATCTCAGCAGATTTATTAAAATGAATGAATGCTTTATGATCATCTTTTTCGACACCAATTCCATCATAATAACAACAGCCAAGATTATACATTCCGCTCGCATTCCCCATGTCAGAAGATTTTTGATAATAAGTGAATGCCATGCGTTCATCTTTTTTAATTCCGATTCCATCTCGATAACAATTTCCAATAGCAAGCATTCCATTAGAATTACACATCTCTACAGATTTTTGATAATAAATGAAGGCTTTATTTTCATCTTTTTCAACACCAATTCCATTTCTATAACAATATCCAACACTAAATATAGCTTTAACATTCATCATTTCTGCAGCTTTATAATAATAAATAAATGCTTTATTAAAATCTTTTTTAATTCCAATACCATTTTGATAACAATACCCAACAGTATAAGTTCCATTAGCGTTCCCCATATCCGAAGATTTTTGGTAATGAATAAATGCCTTATGTTTATCTTTTTTAACTACAATACCATCACGATAACAATTACCAAGTGCAAATATTCCATCAGAACTACCCATCTTGGAAGATTTTTTATAGTAAATAAATGCTTTATATTCATCCTTTTCAACTCCAATACCATTGTGATAACAACATCCAACGTTATACATTCCTTCAGCAGCAGATTTTTGATGATAAATGAACGTTTTATGCTCATCTTGTTCAACAATGGATGGTTTTTCAACGGCGGACAGGTTTTCAACTATGGGCGTCTCATGTTCATCCTTTTCGACAAGAGGCTCCATCATAAACTCCTTAAGTTCATCTTCTTCAACCACAAACTTCTTATGTTCATCTTTTTCGACCACAAACTTCGTATTTTCATCTTTTTCAACCACAAACTTCTTATGTTCGTCTTTTTCAACAGCAATTCCTGTCTCTGCAGATTTTTGACGACGAATGTATTCATCTTTTTCGATATCAAGTTTTTCATTACGCGAATCATTAATGTTCTTTGAATCAACATATTTTTGATAATAAATATATGCTTTATGTTCATCCATTTCGACACCAAAACCATTTAGATAACAATAATAAAGAGCAATTATTCCATCAATACTACCCATATAAGCGGAATTTTGAAAATGAATGAATGCTTCATTCATGTTTTTTTCAACACCGATACCTTTTTCGTAACAACGTCCAACATTGTATGATCCAATAGCATTCTTCATTTCAGCCGACTTTTGATAATAAATGAATGCTTTATGATCATTTTTTTCGACGCCAATTCCATCTTGATAACAATGACCAACAATATACATTCCATTAGTGTTTCCCATTTCAGCGGATCTTTGATAATGAATAAATGCTTTACATATATCCTTTTCAACACCAATTCCATTTCGATAACAATGTCCAACATTAAACATTCCATTAGTGTTTCCCATATCAGCAGATTTTTGATAATAATTGAATGCTTTATAATTATCTTTTTCAACACCAATTCCATCTCGATAACAATTACCAAGGATGAATAATCCATCAATATTACCCAACTCAACCGATTTTTTATAATAAAGTAATGCTTTATTTAAATCTTTTTCAACACCAATTCCATTAAGATAACAATGACCAACATTAAATAAAGCATTAACATTTTCCATATCAGCGGATTTAAGATAATAAGTGAATGCTTTATGATCATCTTTTTCAACACCAATTCCTAACATGTAACAATTTCCAACATTATATATAGAATCGGAATCACCCAAATTAGCAGATTTTTGAAAAAGAAGAAACATTTTCTTATAACTTTCAATTAATTTCTTTTCATCCAACATATTGTACATAATGTTAGATTGAATTCAATAAAGATTCGACAAATTCGACAAAAATTCCACAGTATACAGATTTGAATTCTTGTATGTACGTATGTAATATAACAAATACGTAATAATAAAACTCAGAAAAATATTAATAATCAATACGATATTTTAAGACAATAACTATATATTATATAATTGAATGAGATATGATTAATACAAGTGAGAAAAAAAATTTTAAAATCATATGTTAATTATGTTGTAATTCACTGATACAATAAATGATAACGATAATCATGTAAATACGTACTTGTGAACGAAAAGTAATTAAGAATTTAAACATGTATTAAAAATTTAAAACGTGAAGTCAAAACTTTATAGAATGTAGCTCTCCTAAGCTTTTTGTGCAAATGAATTAATAACATTCTTCGTCGATACGTACGTATCGAAATTAAACCCGGTTTTTTTTTTTTTTACGTTTTTGCATTTTATACGTAATTTTAAAAAACCTGATTGTTTACTGTCATGCTTATCGTAAATCATTACTATAAAAGGGTCCACTACAACGATAAGGAGGAAAATAATAACATTTTAAATAGATCAAAAAAGTAATGTCCAACGATTTCGTACGTATTATACGATTTAAGACTAAACTTGGTAAATTATCAAATCAATGATGTACCGCATTAATGTATAGGCGTATACATAACGATAAGATTTTAAAGAAACCAAATAAACCAAATATGTGTGAAATATCCGAATTTGTGACATCGGATCTTACACAATGTTCTTAGTGGAGCACATGACCAAATCTAGTTTTGGCATATTTAGGAAAATTATTAAAGACAAGCAAGCACCTCGCCACATGCTCATAACGATAACTGGAATAGAAATTATATTACTATAAATAGGGGAACGTTAAAGCCAGGTACCAGTTAGGGTTACCTTTTTGATGCAGTTAGGGTTAGAGGGTTATATAGATATCAAGAATACGATTTATGCCTGATTATCGACCATTTCCATTTTTGTTGCCGTATCTTCCTTTTTAGTATTGCTCAACGTAAGGATATGTTGGTTAGTGTTGGTATATATAGTCTAAAAATAGAAGGTGAAAAAATAATCTTTAGGCCACACCAAGTTAAAACTATGTTTAACATAAACGATAGCCCCACTCAAATAGAAATGGTAATAAACATCACTTAATATAAAAATCATATTTAACTTCAAAAAAAATTTTTTTTAGCCAATAAAAATCATGTTTTTTTACCCCCCTACATTAGCGTTGCAGATCATTTATTAGTGTTATGTTAAACATAGAATCAAATTGGAATGGCTTTACCATAGTAGTACAACTCGATAAATTCGATTTATTGCATTTTTTTTGAATTTATTGAATTTCGCGCTTGAAGTGAATTTTGTGACTTTAATAGCCTTAGTGCTCTTAGCGAATAGAATGTCTTTAGCGAATAAGTTCCTTGTATAAATTAATAGTAATGAAAAATGCATAAAAAGACTCATCCTTCGCCTTGAAGAAAAAAAAATCTTAGAGTTCGAAAATTTCAAAGTATTTAGTAGAAGTCGTAGTCTCTAATAAGTTTCCCTTTAATTGTTCGTTGTCGTATCTCCTTGCCCCCGAAATTGTATTTTCGTTAATGAGATGTTAGTTCTTGTACCTGTGACTATCGAATAGCGTATTTTCATATTAAGAAAAAAAAAAAAAAAAAAGAAATAGAATTAGCAATACGAACACTTATATTAAAATCGATCGTGATTAAGTTAGTGATCAACCACATTAACTTCCCTGATCCGTGACCTCGTACCACATTCTGATTGGCTAATTTCTATCACACGACCCAGCCGCAGGACCTACAGTATTAGTAGATTCTAAATCTGATATGTAATCGATAGTTAAAGTAAATTACATTTTATCCTTATAATAAATCGTCAAAATATTTAAATGCAAATTTATGTTTATTATGATTTATTTATTTATTTGTTCCCTTTTCAAGCGTTACAACATTTTCCATCTGATGACGTTATTAAGAAGTCACCTTAATGATATCGCGATAATCTGTACAAACAAGTATAACGTTGAAGCCTCAGTGCATACTGTATCACGATTCCCGACATTAAGGTTCTCAAAGTCTTGAGAAATGATACATACAGGCTTTGATGCAGATCTGACATGATTAGAGTTGGATACAATGTTTCAGAACTGGATAGTAGTGTAACTAATTAAAACTTTAGTTAATCTTCTTGTAAATAAATCTTTATCATTTTCACCAGTAATTTTTCCGTGTATGCATAGTTTTATTGTACTACCCATCCATTTTGATAGCAATGCATAATTTTTGAGAATTTATTAAATTCCTTTAAACAATTCATAACTTATGCTAAAATGGTAAGGATTTAAGCTTGGCGGTTCAGTCATATGAAAGTTACTCAAGAGCATAGACGCGTGGACGTAGCTGTTTGAACATGTTACAGTAAAAAAATTAGTCTAAACTTGAGAAGGTGATGTAGAAGTCGGGTTGTAAACGTTTCCCTAGCTAAGTGAACGTACTGCAGGGATGTATACACAGAATAAGACGTAGTGATAGTAATGTAAGCGAGTCATTAGAGCGTAAACGTACCTAAAAATTAAATGTATTTAGAGACTACCTGTCCAAGTAATAAAATTCATTATTCACTTTCATCCTAAAATAAAACCTTTCATTCCACATTCGAATAAATAAAAGTAAATATGTACTTATCTGAGTTTCCTCTTGCAAATTGTCTTTTGAATTCACCTTTACTCTTAATATACCTTTCGGGACTCAATTCGACGGACTGAATTGACTTGTAATTTCGATTCGGCTTATTAAAGACCCTAGTTAAAAGTCAGGTGGAATTAAATATTGTCATTCTCGTTACTTTCTTTGTAATCCGTCACGTGAAGATTTAAAACCTATACTTGGTCATCGTCAGCTTTAATCCCATCAAACTTAAAACGATATCACTATATCAACTTCCTTAAGATCATCACCTTTAACGGCATTAGAGGTTGGAACCGGATCTATAGTTCGGGTTTATCACATGAATTTTGTGATATTTTAGAATTCAGTAAAATTTAATTGGATGAATTTCTAAAATATTACAAAATTCACGTTCTAAACGGCTTTCATCGCATCACTTTATCCTTATTGACATCAACCCCTAACCGTTATAAAAGATCTTCCTTGCTTCCTAGAAGTCTATCCTCAACTTCCCATACATCGACGGGGTTAAATTGGCCTATCGTCTATAATAATTTACTAGCTCTCCCAATCAACGGTTACAGTAGTCCTTCAACGCTCATAAGCGTTCGATAAGCAATACTCTTCGCAAGTAGGTAATGCTAAATACAATTGCAAAAACGTGTGCGAAAAAAGTCATTGTGAAAAGAAATTGCTTTATGGGAGTAGTTATCATCCTAATAACCTTAAATGTAAAAGTTTTATGTAACATTTTTGGCGTTTAACTAATTTACGATGAATAAAATCTTAAAGCGACTTATATACTAGATAAAAATAATTTAAAATCCATTTAATTTTATCTTAAATTGAATTTGATTCCTTAACGACTTGAGGTAACAATTAAGAATTCAATTACAGCTTATGTGTATTCGACAAACAATAAAGATACTAATATTAGATATTATTATTAAGCGGAATTGATGTTAAAAAAAGCATTTATCAAACATCTGGTGATATGAATGTTTATGGAACTGCATTTAAAAAGTTAAAAATCATTGACTATTGAACATTTGCTAATATGGAATTCAAACGAATGGAGTCAAAAGAATATTTTACTTTGAACCAATTTTCAAGTAGGCGAAAATAAATGGTAAATATCCGATCATCTGGAGCTCGAATGGTCTTCGAATGGTCAAAGTTATTCCCCAAAGTTGGAAATAAAGAAGTTACTCTTCGCTTAATATGACATCATGACGGAAGTTTTTCGAATCAAATAAATAACTTTCCTTTCATCACCCCCTTTTTGTCTTTTATATAATTCTTTGACATAACATTAAGAAAAATTATAAAATTTTCGCATTAAATAATTCTATTACATTCGTTAAGAAAATTTTAAAAGCCTTCGTTCTAAATAATATTTTTACAGTATGTAGGCCAAAAGGATTATGAAAAACATTCTCCTAAATTATTCTTCGTCGCTCTGATAAAATGCTATCATTTGAATAAAACTATCGAAACTAAAAGAATATTATTTTCAAGCCTTGTATAAAAGTCTAAAGTACATCCATGGGAATAACGAGAGTTACACTGATCGAATAAATATTAAGAGTTTGGATACCTTAATGAATTGGACTAGAGGTGCAGGAGAATTACTGTAATTTGTTGTAACACGGCAAAAAATGCCGTAACTTATTACTGTATAATACGACAGGATAAAACCCACTACACAAATCATATGAGGGTAAAATCCGCTTTTGCATAAGAAAAAACATAGCTAAACGCGGATTTTACCCTAACGTGATCTACGTAGAGAATAAATTTTACTTAGCGGAAAATATTTTAAGAGGATCAAATGTGATTATTAAATATCCAAATAAATATCGTAGTTTAATAAAGTTTATTACGTAATTAATATATTTTATTGCATTACTTGAATGTGTGCTAGGTTTGTGGCGCAACAAAAAGTTCTTTATTGTTCATTTATGTTAAAGTTAGGGTTAGGTTACGGGTTAGTAGAAGGTAAATTATATAATAAAATTGTCCAATGAAAACTTTTTATTAGAACACAAAAGAAATTTCTTATGTAGAATTTCGAGAAATAAGAAATTTTGGACGTCGTTTGTTTTGAATTTTTTACGTTGCACCTGGTTTCGAAATCTGATTCATAGTTCAGTAAATCTGCGCCACAAACCTAGCACACATTCAAGAGGTGCTATTTTATTAGTAAAAAATAATACATGTGTTTATCATTTATTTTACAAGAGACCGCATAAGCAACCTTATCATGCAACATCCGAATATTAACGAACTAAACGTAGTGACAACGACATTTGATAAAACATTAATGGATCTCTCATGTATTATTTTGATTGTCACGTTTATTAGATAATCGCATAAAGAATAAACTTCATTACGATCATGAACTAATTAAGTTGAGGTTGAGGCTTGAAAACGTCCTTTATAAAGCTTCAACTTTTTTGATTCGTTAACTAATCTTGTTTTAAATATTAAAGCTAGATGCATATTTTGTCATCGATTATAATTTTTTTAAATGTTCAAAGTATTAAAAAACGGAATTTATGAAGATGATATATATTCATGAAATATGCGTTGATCGAAATTATATAACCATTGAGTTGAATCTATTTATGTATTTGGAATGCTATTAACATTTATATTTAATTTTGCAAATATATGTAACAGTCGAAATCAATTGCCACGATCATTTTACCACAAAAACTCTCATTTTAAAAAAATGTGTTACTGATATTTTTAAATAAACACTTGCTTAGCTAATAATACGTATAAACTATTATCGTGGTCAATTTTTGGAATATTTACTAATAATAGTACACTACGTAACGTTAAATATTTTGCTAAATTGCAAATTGTGGATGAGCCATCAAATAAGCAAGCCACCTGATCAGATCTAAGCCAAATTTTGACGCCACTTGTATTATTCTTACATGTCTAATCGAACAAATAAGTAATGCGTTGAAGAAGAAATATCATCCACGTTTGTTGTAATGGATTTTTTGAAAATTTTGAAAAAGTTGACTTTCAAGCTCTTTTTTTCGTTATGATTAAAATTACAATTACAAAATATACAAAATAGAACCGAAATTAAAGCTTGATAATTTGGATCTGAATTTATAGTTACTATAATCACTACGATTAAATTGTAAAAGAAATGAAGCTTTGTGAATCATCTAATAGGATTGGATTCATTGGCGGCGTTTCAATATTGGTTTCTTCAATGATAGGGCCAGGACTGATAACAAGTAAATATACATACCTTTGATCAAGTTTATGAATTCGGGTTGGCTAATTATTCGAATTGCATAACTCTTTTTTATAGTACCTTCATTATTTCGTAGTGCAGGATGGATAACGTGAGCTAATTTCACATTAATCCAAATTAATTCGAATTAATTCAGATTAAATTAGTTAATAAATTGATTTAATTATAATGACATAATTGAAGGCCGCTGGTGATGTTTTTGATTTCAATATTAATAGCACCAACTGGTGCTTTATTATTGTGTGAGGCTATTGGTTCTTTACCTGGTAACGAAAGATTCACTGTGCGTAGTTTAATAATTCATTTTCAGATTCCCGTTTATAGATTTGAATATTATTTAATAATTATAAAATTTTTCATCAGAAAAGAATAGAGTATTCTAAACTTTGTTCTTTATTGATCACAAATCGATTTGGACGAGTGTTAACACAAATAATAATATATGCAGCGATCGAAACTTTTATTATAACTTCAATTATTCTTTCAGCTCAATTATTTGATAATTTGTTGATCGACTTTTTAAAGATTTCTTGTGGGATTGCTATATATCCAGAATTTGGTTGGATTTGTATTGGAACTTTTGGCAATATTAATGGTCCATTTGAAAATCGGTTGATGTTATTTACTATCGGTTTTATGGTAATATAAATTTCATTCAAATTATCATTTGCATCATATTTTTACTAATACTGTATGCACTTTAGTTAACAATATTAATTGCTACACCGATGGTATGGATGGAATTATCAAGTAACACTAAAATTCAGATCGGTGTGTAAAATTTAATTTTCATTTTACATAATTGATTCATATACAAATATACAAACAAGTTCATCACATTTTGAAATAATTAACTTGAATTTGGTAGTTTCGTTTTTTATGATAATATTGGTTGTGATCACGTGGATCGTGACAATCGTATTGCACGGCTTGAATCCAGAACGAATTCCCATAGTTGGACAAGGTCAAGATCCGATTATAAAAGCTGTACTGTATAATTATGCTTTTGTCATTACTGTGCCGAGTTTGGTTAACGAAATGGTTTGTTTACTCTTTTTTTTTTGTTATTAACACTGACATGCGCTTATTAACCATGCTTAAATAATATAATATAGAAAAAGGATGTTTCAATTCGAAAAGTCGTATGGACTTCAGTCTTTATTACAACCCTTTGTTATATCTCTTTAGGAATTATTGGCGCCATGTCTCTTAGAATGGAATTAACAACAAATTTAATAACATCAATCCGAAAATCAGAATTACATAATACTTTTGTTGATATTATTAGCTATTTATTTCCAATTGCATTGCTTGCTGGAATACCGGTATATGCCATAGTTATACGTTATAATTTGATTCGATCTGGAATTTGTAAAGACAGTATGTTTATATAATCAAAGAAAGAAAAATTTACATAGTATTAATTCTTTCTTTACCCATATCACTAATTCATTATTGTTATTTTTTTTTTAGAAAACACTGCAATTTTTTTTACAATGTTACCATGGATTTTAGCTATACCTTTTCAAACCGGTTACCTGTTAAATTTATTTGCCAATTGGACAATATTGATTTTTATTTGTTTCGCAAATTTTATAATTCCATTTTGGTTATATATTTTGAGCAGAAAAAAAGCAAAATTGATACCGTTGGTAAAAATCACTCAGCCAAAAGAAGATAATACAAAAGGTAGTTTAAAATAACGATTTTATTTCGTTAATATTAACTACCAAATTTATAATTTTTATTATTATTAATGTTGATTTTGTTTATTAGTTGAAGAAAAATCGCAGATAGCCAAGCAATTAGACTTACATTTCAATATACCCTCAGGTCTTGATAAAATTCCAGATAAAAGTATTGTAGAAAAACTACATGATCCAAAACTATACCGAATGTCAGCGGATGCAATACCATTAAGCGATATTCCGGATGATTTTACTGTTAATTCTGATTTTATAAATAATGCCAGATTAACATTACCTCCTATTACAACGATGGATCCTGATTTATTTTCTATATTATTACCTTCACAACCATCAACTCCACAACATCCTTCAACTCCAAGATCTGTTAGTACTGATGATGATGAATTCTACGGTCTTTTCCCTGCTCCTAAACCTTTCAAAGCATTTTTCCCTAACATTGAATTAGAGAAAAATGATGTAAATGAAGAAGGAAGTATGACTGAAAAAAATGATTTTTGTAGCATTTGGATTGCCTGGACTGCCGGACTCATTAGTTGTTTACTTATTGGTTTTGCTATTATATATAGTTTTGTGGATTTATCTTTTGGAATTAAAACTAGTACTCTATTGTAATTTTTTTTTACTGTAATTATAAATCACTGAATTTCCGTTCAAATATTTTATTCTAGATTTAAAAAGATACTATAAAATTTTTTTTCTTTACGAAATTTTTGATTTGATATATATGTATGTTTTTGATTATACAGTATTTCATAAATTTTATTTTTTTTAGAATAAACTCTAGAAACTGAATTAGGTTTAATTTTATATTACCTGTATGTTCGAATCAAAATCAATGATTTAATTTATTATACGTAAGAATAATTCAATTGCCTAATTAACCATCATATTATAGTGCGCCACCACAATCATTAGCCAATCCATCGAAGCGTGCTATTATTAGATGAAAATATTTCCTGTGCCTTTACAGTATGCAGTCCAATCGAGATTCTTTTGCATAGTGATTATCAATGTTCATTTAAAGCTAGTACGTAATGGTATTTTTTTATTAATAAAATGCAATAGTACGTATTTTAAAGTGTATAAATAAGTTACATTTTTGATGCATCAATAATAGTAATATCAAAAATGCAACTTCCATATTTAGTGTCTGTCCGCATGCGTTTAATAGTTGCATTTTTTGATACATCGCATTGAAATTAGATCTTAGTTGTTATTATTGTGCTTCGGACGCATAATGCTGCGCATTAACTACATAGTAATACGAATATAATATTTTTGATTGACTATCAACTACAGGAGAGACCGTTGATGTTATACAACTAATCCGGCACCTGGTGTGCACCACATAAAATAATTATTCATAACATCAACAATTACTATCGACGTCCGTAGCTCACAAAAAATTTCCGAAAATCACACATTTTTTGTTTTTTTTTCAAAAAATTTGTCTATGATATTGCTTTCAGCGTTCTAACAAAAAAAAAAAAAAAAAAAAAAAAAAAATTCCTTTCGAAAGTTTGGTATAAATTATACCCCCTCTTGTCCTTAATCCTAACCTTAAAGATATAGCTTATCAGTTATTGAATCCTCTTAAATAGATATAGTTTATTGATTCAAGTCTTTCGATTTTTACGTTACACCTGATCTTTCGATCTAATTGGCTAAAAATCACGTTCCGCAAAGTTTTTTTTTTAAATTGAGGTGCGATCGACATCTGACACGTATTGTAATTGTTTTATTTATTTTTTTTATTTTGAAATTATTTTAGCATGGTCTTAAATTTTGAGTGGATAAATTAACCTTTACACGCTCCAGAAACATAAAATAACGAACTTTACTATGCAGAAAAGACATTGAAGATATTGAAGAGAAGATATCAAAAAAGAAAATATTGAAAGAAATTAAAGTAAGTTTTTATTATTAGTAGTCAAACCTTTAAAATTTCTTTTGCGCGATGCTAGGTTCGACTGCCTAAGCTAAATAGTGGAAGGTTCATTCTACATACAAAATTCGAAAGGATAGTTTGTCTGATTGAATACTGAAGCATTTAGTAAAGGTTGTCGTTCTTAGGACACAAAAGTAATTTTAATGAAGTTTTTATAAAATCTACAGATTCTGTAGGAAGAATTAGTTATGTTTTTTATTTTTTAAAAAAACTTTTTGTTAGGCTATAAAAATATTACTACTTAATGACTAGTCATTAACCAATTTTTTTATATATTTTAAAAAGAACGGTGAACTGATAAAAGAAGACCAAAATTATTGTACTGCGTGGATTAAATTTATAATACCCTTTACGATCTTTGGGCACTGACTAGCAATGCAGAAGAAATGACACTAGCGACGAAAGTAAAAACGTTTAACAAAATAACAGTGACGAAAAAACCCCATTGGATAGTACCAACAGTATAAGAAAAAACACCGAATGAAAAAGTACCAACGATCAAAGTAGAATGTATTGTATCAGTGTTACTAGTCGAGGCTGTACGGTCAGAAATACTCTAATCAATTTTAACTAAAATTATGCTAGCTGTATTATAGATCTAATGAACCACTACTAACTCATATCAAATAACGAACAGATTTCTGATATGTCATAGTTTGATCAAGTGGAAGATATGATTTCTCGAATCCACGACCATCGGTTAAACATGTTTGCAAAATCATAAAAGAAATCAAAAGATCGTCTACCAAGGTGAATAAATTTTAATATTAGAATTTTTGAATTCGTTACATTGGGCATCTTTGTATTATCGGGTAATCCGGGTCACCACGTCTCAAAATAAGAAATAAAGATTTGATGAGTTTTATTACTACTTTCTTAAGTGCCATTAAAATAATAATTTTTGCATGTTTTTATATATTACATTTTATTAATGTTCTGACAACGGTTTCAATTAGAGTTTTCTACCATTTCCATTATCTGATCGTTTCCCGTTGCTGAAATCTTATTATTTTTCTTTCGAATCATCACAATTTGGAGGAAGATACACTGAGCTCTCAGGCACGATCATCGATAGTGACACCTTAGCTTTGGTATTTTACCCATAACATCTTGACGTTATTAAATGGTCTTGTAATTTTAAAATTCAGTATATAAAGGTAAGTTCACACAGTCTTTCTTGGTTCTTTCTGAAGCTTTTTCAAAGTCGATGATAATTTCTATGTCAGAACTTTCATGAAGTTTCATTAAAGCTTCTTTCCAATTTCACGTAATTCATCAGCATCTAAATCCTATGTTTTATACTTTAACTAATCTCAGGATTAATCAATGACAGTTTATTACACTTTGGTTTTAGTATCTCATCCTTACGTTTGTTCATTTCGCATTGCCAGTTTTGCCTACCAAAATGACTCACTGAAACTCCCATCAGATTTTTTGTGTCATAATTTTAACAAAATTGCTGCCTTGTTCTGAACTTTGGTGGAAATGGTTGCCAGATTGTTCGATTGGGATTTAACTCTTACGTTAATTATTATTATTTATTTATCTTATTTATTTATTTTTTATGCTAACTAGTTTAAATTCTTTTCAGGTTTCTCTGAAATCGAATATACAAGAATTTATTTCAAACGATATAAGTGTCTGAGCCTTTTCCATGTGTTTCAGTTTATTCAGAACTTTTAACTGACATTTACTTTTTATATATAAATTTGATTTAGTATACAAGAAGCCAAGCTATGTCGCCATCCCATCTTTTGACTGTTCTGTTTGGAGCTAGTTTAATTTTACAAATTTTTTTTTCACCTTCATGTTGTCCAGGACTCTTCAGGTATTGTTTTCCACTTTCGATTAATATTTCCATTTCACTTGACCATTTTTTCTAATTTATTATTTTATTTACTCTTTTTATTCACACTCACAGGTGCGGTCTAAATTTTTTTCTTTATTTACATATTGTTCATTTATTTGGGGTGTTTTTTTTTGTTTTTTAAATGCAAGGCACCACTCGAGTTATCCTCACGGCAGAATCATTCTCGGTCTAATTTGTAGGTTGTGATGCTAATTTCTGTTCGTTATTATATAGACCCAGTTTCTATTTACTTTTATTTATTTATCCGACGTTGTCTAATGATTTGCATTATACTAGGTTTATTAAATGGGCCTGACGAAGAAAACCCTTACTAATAAAACATCGGGCTTGCATTTATTGTAAAACTAGAAGTTAATTTTACATGAGAATGTCAATTTTTGTGAAGTTAACATTTTAATAATCAAAATTTTGAAATATCAATTAGTTTCTGTATTGCATTTTGTTGGCTCAGAATTCGGCAAGTCTGTCGCTAATTTATTCCAATTCTTGCGTAACCTACGGCGGCTAAGTCGAAATCGGCATGTTAGATTTGGCTGGTGAGTTCTTGTCCATAGGTCCTTCTTTGTGTCTTTCCTTCAACATATTCTTATACTAACTCTTTTTTCTTCTTTATACCTCAATCCGGGATTATAATACGTCGAATCGGGTTGGAATTCTTCTATTACGTTAACGGCCTTCTGGGTCACGTGACTTATGCGAGCGATCAATTTGCGGTTTTAGTGGTTTTTGGGAGAACGATTATGTTAGTGATGGGATTAATGATAATTATCAGATAGGAAATGATAGCAGTTTTATTATGGGCCGGGTACTTAGTTTTTATGTATGCAAATGTAATTATTTAGGGGTCGTCTTCCTCTTTTTTCTTTATTTATAATAAATGAATTATTTACATTCGATGTTAATTTCCTCTACATTATTTATTTACACAATATCATTGTCAAAACTTTTATCCCTACTATTTTAAAGAAGAAACAGATATTCTATATATCATCGATCTACCGAAGTAATCAAAGTAATAAAAGTAACAGAAGTAAGAAAAGTAAAATTTCTTTTACTTTTCATGTGACCAATTACTCGGGACCTCAATTAGAAGATTGATCATGTGTTAACTGTGATAACGTTACTACCCCAGTGGCACCGACAGATTTTCACTGATCGACGCCGTAACTCAAAATTTTGTCTATGTAACCATCTTCTGCGCGTCAGTAAAAAAATTCCTTGCAAAATTTTAGTATAAGATAAGTATCGCTATAATTATAAAATTGTCCCTAATGTACCGTTTTATGACTTTAAAAAAAATGTCGATCAGTGAAAGTCTGTCGGTGCCACTTGGGTAGTCGATAACGTTAGGACCAATTTCGAGGCTCACAATATATACATACCCCGTGTACAAATAGAAATTTCCTTTTTTTTTATTTAAACGTAAAAAAATATAATTTGTTAATAAAGGTCTTTACAAAATTTTCATCTTAATATCTATTTCAAATAACTACATATCTAATCATAATGATCTACATAAAAAATTTTATCGATAAATGAACCGAGCTTGACATTCAGTCATACTTCCTTCTTCAGGTGTTCCAGAATTTATTATCATCCGGCTCAACCGAAAAAAAATGATTTTTATAGCATTTGGATTGCCTGGACTGCTGGATTCATTAGGTGTTTTACTTATAGGTTTTGCTTTATATATAGTTTTGTGGATTTATCTTTTGGAATTAAAACTAGTACTTTATTGTAAATCTTTTTTACTGTAATTATAAATCACGGTTCAGATATTTTATCCTAGATTTA